TACTACCCATATTATGCCTGATCCATCTAGCTCTTGTGACGTCCACCACCGAGTTCTACGTGCATCTTCTCCAAGAAATAGGGCTTTTGGCTTGCTGCTCCGTCGCCTTTTGTTGTTGCATCTACATCGCCGTTCCCTGTGCATCGACGGCTGTGCTGCACAATCTTTGCTGCGCCATCCACCTACACAAGGTCTTCGTCCAGCTGATTGGGAATTCGTCATCAAGCCACCGCTACTCATGCCATCGCTAAGCCCTGCTCACCGGTCACCCCTCGTGTCGTCGCTGAGCCCCGCTCGCCGATGCGTCTGCTCCTACACTGCTTCTTCTTTGTCCAGCACAACCATGCCATCAGCGTCGCCATCTCGTCCCCACCTACTTTGTCTACTTCAAGAACTGTGTGTTGCGCCTTCTACCCTGCTGCTCTATGCACCGCAACCGTCGTTGATACCTTCTCTATTGGTCCCTCAGACGCTAATGCATGGTTGGGGCCCTCTACCTTGTATGTCCAGTATTGACAACACCGGTGCGTGCGTTCATCCCCAACGCGTTGCTGGGTCTGGCAATCCTAGCCCATGCATTGGCTCAGGCAGATTGACCGCATCAACTTCGGCATCGATTCTCCCTTTCCCACCCCATCTGCCTCAATTGCGTCGTCGCATTTCTTCTATGTCCACAAAGGCCTTGACTGCATCGACTTCGGCATCGCCCCTTCCATGACAACTGCCTCAATGCATCTCCATCGTCACCATGGCGCCTCTTGTGCGCGTGCACCTTCATCACCACGGCGACATGACCACAACTACGTCGACCTCGTCTAACTTCAACATAGTTTCTTCAAACATGGCAGTAGTGCTCTTCAGATTGGCTACCTCGACATCGACACAAAGGGCTATCATCTGCATGAGTCCTTATCAGTTTTCTCTCTAGTTCCAACATTTGCACTACGCTAAGTTGTGACTGCAGGGGATGTTCGTTGACTTCTTCTCCAGTCTCACCATTATAGCTCTCCCCATGTGACTTCAGGGGATGTTAGACTATATTCGGTGCTCACTGTAGATATGCTAGTTCTTAGCCATTGGCTCTTAACTATAATCCAATGACTGAGTTAGTGTTTTCCTAGCACGTAGGCATGCAAGTGCTTCAGCACTCTATATGTACCGTACCGGCAAGGGTCCTAATGCAATACCATATCCGTCGTTTCATACCCACAGTTCCATTTTTACAATAACGTATGACCAAATTAAACTGTCTAAAAACTGACGGGGAATAGCAATGCTCAACAACTTTGTCAGACCAAGGGCTTGTTCGGATGAGTTAGGGGTAGTTATTAGTTGGGGCTAAAATCTTACTATTACTCATTAGAGGCACCAACGGAGGCATCATGTTAATTCTCACCAGACGCGCTAAGAAAAAAAGATAAATCCTAAAAATTCTCACAATAATCAGAAACATCTAGCCTTTAATTTAATAGACTCTAATCACCATCACCGATAATAGCCATTGGATCTATTGTAATTTATAAAAAAAATTACCCACCTCTGTCATTATAAAAAATACATAAAGTACCCCCTAATTTTGCATATAAATTACCCACCTCTGCCATTACAAATGATAATTTAGAATAACCCCCCAAATTTATATATAAATTACCCACATATGTTATTATCAAACATAATTCAAAATAACCTCATCACATTGCATATAAAGTACCCACCTTTGCCATTGCAAATGATAATTCAGAATAAACCCCTAAATTTATATATAAATTACCCACATCTGTTATTATGAAATATAATTCAAAATAACTCCATCACATTGCCTCTAAATTACATGTCATTGCTATTGTGAAAGATAATTTAAAATAACCCTCTAACTTTGTATCTAGATTACCCACATATGTCATTATGAGACATAATTTAAAATATAACCCACTAATTTTGTATCTAGATTACTCACGTGTGTCATTATGAAAGATAATTTAAAATACATAATAATGATTTTATAAATTATCCACCTTTGTAATTATGAAAGATCATGAAAAAATAACCTCCTAAATTTACATTCAACCTACCCATATATGTTGTTATGGAAAAATATAAAGTATTACCTTTATATTTGTATCTAAAACAGCCATTATAAAAAAAACAAAAATATTTCTCAAATCTACGTCTAAATAGTATACAACCATGAAATTAAATAACCATAATGTTATACTTCACAATTTGTACTAACTAAACATATATAGATTAGGATATATATTTATTTTAATAGCTTATGAAGCATGGAAAAATGTTTAGTTGGCAAACCACCTAGAGACATCATAACACTGACAATTCACTTTAACTTATATTAATACTACATGATAATAAATTTTATAAATTGTTATTTTAAATAAGTTTATATATTTTAATTGAAACATTATATCATATCGGTATTGGTAATTTAATTTTAAGCACTCTAAGATACATAAGACAACACTAAATACATATAAGTCTCTGATATAACAAATTCAACAACTTCGATGCTAGGGTACAATCTGAGTTTTAATTAATATGTGGGAAAAAATACTACTAGGATTTAAACTCTTTTTAGTAAAAAATAATTTTTGAATAAAAGATGGAAAATACTAGAGTTTATACCTAACATGTGAAAAATTTGCACAACTCGACTGAAAGTCGATAGCTAAACTATGATTTATGGTCACAGAAAAGGATGAAACTAGAGTTTATATATGTTAATATTGTGTTTCAACTAAATACATATCATGCTAGAAAAAAGATAAATACTAGAAATTCTAACTAGAGGGCTCTAATGAAGCCTCCATGTTAATCCTTACGAGACATGTTAATTCTCATGAGACAAGATAAGAATAAAAGATAGATCCTAGAAATTCTCACAAAAATCAGAAACATTTGACTATCAATTCGGTATAACCTAATTACCATTGATAATAATAGCTATTGGATCTATTCTATAAAAATTACCCACCTCTGCTATTGCGTAAAACAACATAAGGCAACACATGACTATATATTCAAACTACCCACATATGCCATTAAGAAACATGATCTAAAGCATATCTAAATTTGCACCTAATTACCCATGTACTCTTATTATGATAGATAATTTATGTAACCCAATCTTTGTCTTATTATTTGAAAAATAAACATCATCTAAAATCTACATTTAAAATTACCAACATCTTTTATTAAAAATATTAAAATAATATAGAGCATGTATATATATTTATACATTACCTATTTCTATTAATATTACTTTATTAAGATTTGATCAAAGTAAGCAAGTATGTTATGCAAGCATGCATGAGCGCATATCTAATGATACTATCAAATTGTTTAAAACCATATTAGTAGTCATGGCATATATTTTATATAGGTCGTTGCTTTAGATATATTGATGTATTTTAACTAAATATTTGACATGTCTATATTGATAGTAGAAAATTCAATCATCGTGGGAAGTATGAGACACCACTGATGGCTATATTTTTCCAACCCTTCAAGATTACTTTAGAGCAAAAAGTCAATCATTATATAGCTTAAGTGTTCAAATTCTCTTGAGGTTAGCACTACTACCCCATTCGAGATCTCACTTCAAGCTCTATCACTTATATTAAATGATATGGCGCCGGTTTTGAATGATTACTTTTGCTATCATAGTATCTAAGAACGTACTCTAAGACCAAAAATCCTTATCGATAAAAAGTGCAAAAGGTGGAGTTAATAAAAAAAATACAATAGTCACAAGAGTTTCAACTTGACGGCGAAAAAAAATCTATAGCAGTCAACAAGAATAAAATTTTAAAAATTAAATTGAGGTTCATGACTTCATAAGATGTGTGGCATCAACAAGGACCGCCATAGTTAATGCCAAGATTTCAAATTAATTACATATTTAAAATATAAGAAGATGACATGCAATGTAAAAATACGAATATGGTTGAAAATCATATAAATAAGTCCCTTGCAAAAAACTATTTGGATATAGACTATATGAAATATCTATTGTCTATTTTGTAAAAATAAACAAAGATAATAACATTCAATTTAATATAATAATTCTTTATTATTTAGATGTATTAAACAATATATGTCTAAAAAATTCTAACCCGTGTAACCTAAATTAGCTAAGATTGGTTAACAACTACTTGAAGCATGACTAATAAATTAGCCCACCTATTAGCCCCTTGTTTGGATGAGCCAGGATTATTTTTAACTAATTTATTTTAGCTGGTTAACAATTAACCCTTAGTATCCTAACAGACCCCAAATATTCAGAATTTCGCGGTTGTGTGAGAATTGGACATTGCTTAGAGTTTATTTGACCATAGTAGACTTGCCTTATTTTTATACCCTTTTCTAGAACTTAACGTCTTTGAGTCATGTGATGAGATGCTTGTTCCAACAAGTAACGACCTTACATTAGCTGTACTAATATCTTAACATCACCAACATACCATAATTAACACCTAGAAACATAGGGAAATTTGTCTGGTCCTGTTCTTTTGGATCGAGTGAGCTTCAATCATGCACCAACTATGTAGTTTGTATAATGATTCCACAAGATGCATGACTAAAATAGTGCTCTTAACAATGGCGCAACATGTCATGACGCTGTGATGCGTGAAATATGTTATGCTGGAGGTTGCTGCCTTATTGGTGTCAGGATTGGACAACCTGGCAACTGAGAGTTCCTGGTTGGTGTGTCCATGAAATATGTTAGCACACGACCCCGGTTAGAATATTATTGGCATTTTGGATTGCATGTTTGTGGAGGAAAATGACTTGGCATGGAATTGTCTGCGTGGACTGCAGCAGATGGAGGTAAGCTTGTTTCATTCTAGTTTCAATAAAACTGGAGGAGTAGCAATAAAACACTAGTCTTTGGTATTTGTGCAAGGGGTTGTTCTTGAACAAATAGACTGGCTGTACTGATATGTGAGGCTCAAATACACGAGGGACATACAAACACTAGAGTACTAGACTGGAGAAGTAGCATTTGCTTCGGGTTTCACTGATGAGTCGCCAGGCGATGGTTGGGCGCTCTGACGACTCCTCCTTCTGATGATGCAGGACAGGAGGAGATGGAATGCCATGTAGACCAGCACGGCTATGACCAGCAGCAACACATACACAGATGTCTTCCACCGCCTGCTCGAGCCGGCTGCGTAGGCACCCAGGAGGCCAAGCAAGTCCAGCACAATTGTTGTGTTCATCACCACAAGCCACCTTTTGTGCCAGTGGTCGTTGCGAACTAGCTGCTTTGGTGGTACCAGGAGAAGCAGGATGACCATGACCGAGACGGACGCCATGAACGAGGTGGAGTTGCTGTAGAAGAAAGCCAGATACCGGGGCCTCCTGTTGTCATGCATCACCGGGTCGCCGGCCTCGTGCCCTCCACTGCTGTTCTGCCAAGCTCCGCCCGGCGGCTCTAGGCCGGCCTGGTAGGTGACACTTGCCACAAGGATCCCTAGCAACATGAGGTACTTGCGGTTGGCATGTATGCTCTTCTTTTTCTCGGTGTCGTCATTGTCCTCCTCGTCTTGTGTGTTGGTCTCTATTGGTGCTCCTTGTGGAGTTTTGCTGCAGCCCGTGAACCAAAACACCAGGAACAGTAGGACTATGAAGAAAATGACCACTGCCACCAACACGAATATGTAGATGGATGTCTTCACATGCTGCGTGCTTCCGGCAGCGTAGGCGCCCATGAGGCCAAACAAGCCTACCCCCGTGCACACGGACAGCGCGTGGGTCCGTATGGCTGGCCTGTACAGGTTGGGGTTGACGAGGAGGAGGATGAGGGCGATGGACAGCATGAAGCTCACCGAGTTGCAGTAGAAGAAGGCCTTGTAGCGGCGCGGGAAGTTGTACAAGAGGACCGGGTCACCGGCGTGGTGCCCGGACTGGTCGTCCTGGAGCAGGAACCCTCCTGGAGGAGTGAGGCCGGCTTGGTAGGTGATGGTCGCCGCCAAGATGGCGAAGAGGAGCAGCCGCTTGCGCGTCTTCTCCACCAACTCATTGTCCTTTTTCTTGTCACTCTCGCTCCTTGTGCGTGTGGCGTCGTCCAGCGTGATGAAGATGACGTGGATGACCACGTAGACGAGGACGGCGCCAGCCAATGCCATGGCATGGATGGATGTGTTCACATCCCGGGAGCTCCCTGCCGCGTATGCACCGATGAGGCCGAAGAGGTCCAGTATCATGACCGCCTCCAGCACATGGTGCTTGAGCAGAAACTTGCTCTGGACCAGCACGATGGCGACCAGGGACGCCACCAGCGACACCGAGTTGCAGTAGAAGAAAGCCTTGTACCTCCGAGCATTCGTCGTCAGGAGGATTGGGTCACCGGCGGTGTGGCCACCACTGTTGTCTTGCCAGACGCCGCCCGGCGGGTCTAACCCCGCTTGGTAGGTGATCGTCGCTGCCAGAGTGGCGAGCAGCAGAACAAGAGAGCGAGCCTTGTCGGCTGCTTTCTCCTTCTCTGTTTTACCCTCCTGACCCTGATTCGGAGAAAAATTAAAGAAATTCAGCTGCAATGCAATCAATATTGAATGTTCTGAATGCCAATGATTTGCAAAGGAAGAGCGAGCGGTACCAAATCGAGGCAAACTCTGAATACTACCTGCCATTGGCCCTAATGGTTGCACATTAGGAGCAAGAGGAATAAAATATTTATTTCAATTTCAACTGCAATGTTGAACATTATTAGTTACCTGAATTTTTTTTCATTTCTTCCCATTTGGCGTAGATGTGATCTGCGACAAAGTAGAGGAACGAAATGTACACCAGAACAGCAGGGATGAGGCTGAACACGTAGATGGTGGTGTCGGTCTGCCTGCAGCTGCCGGCATTGTACGCGCCGATGAGGCTGACGAGCGCGACGACGATGAACCCGTAGGCATTGATCTGGCGGAGCTTCGTGTCCAGAAGCACCACGATGATGAGCAGTGACGCGACGAATGCCGTGGTGTTGAAGCCGAAGAATACGGCCAGGCGCGTGTTGTGATGGTCCTTGAGGATGGAGTCGCCGGGGCGGTGCCCGAAGCCAGTGCTGTCCCAGAACCCCCCCGGCGTGCTCAGCCCGGCCAAGTACGTGATGCTCACGGCGAACGTCGCGAGAAGCATCAGGACCTTGCGGAACCGTTCTTTCGCCTTGTCATGTTCGACCTTGTTGGCCACTGAAGCAAGCGCCATCAGGACCTTGACCTTGCGGAAACTTTTTTTCGCCTTCTGCCGTTCTTCTTCTTTTTCGACGGCTTCGGGTTCGGGCACGCCGCCGCCGGAACCGGAACCGGAGTTGGGGTTTCCTTCGACTTGGCCTTTGGGCACGCCGCCGGAGCCGGTGTCGGTGAAGCACGAGCACGAGGCCACCGCCACTTGACCAACGAGGTAGACGAAGACGACGCCCACCAGCACCGAGGAGTAGACGGTGGTGAACGTGTCCCGGCAGGTGCCGGCGGCATAGGCTCCCATGAGGCTGAGCAGGTCCAACACCATGGCCGTCTGCAGCGTCCGAACGGCGATCCATTGTCTCTTCATGTACTGGACGACGATCTTGGAGCCGGAGTACTTGTCCTTGTAGTCGTCCAGGTAGGCGAGGGTGAGGGTGGTGACGATGACCACGAGCGACGCGGCAAACGCGGTGGCGTTGCAGTAGAAGAAGGCCACGTACCGCTTGTGGTGGGTGTCCCGGATGATGGGGTCGCCGGCGAGGTGCCCGGCAGCCGTGTCCTGCCAGACGCCCCCCGGCGGGCTGAACCCGGCGGCATAGGTCACCGTGGCCACCAGCGAGGCCAGCAGCAGGATGTACTTCTGGAGCTCCAACGTGACTTCTTGTTTATTCTGATTGGTAGGAGGAGCATTTTGGCTGTTGTTGGGAGTTGTGTGATCGGTGGTAGCAAGCTTGGCTTGCGGCATGGTGGCAGGATCCTCCATTTGCAATCGCAACCTCAACTAGGACACGATGGTGTCTCAAGCTCTCTCTGATCAGATATATATAATGGGGCACATGTGGTGCTGTTGGTCAGCAAGGCAGCGTGACTATAGTATATAAGCCCTAAACATAAAATATGACGATAGGCATCGATCGTCAAGATGACACTAATTGTAGGGAAGCTTCCTAATGTTATGGGAAATGCATATATAGAGTGTATTCCTTTCGATCACGCGCAAACAGATTTAAGTGTATAGCTAAGAGCATCTCCAACAGACCCTATTTGGTACAGCTCATCTTATCGGCTTTTGTTGGCTTTGACTCTAAAAGAAAGTTTATTGATAGAGTTGATTCTGTTTTTTTTAAACGTTTGGTAAAACAGCTTCTTAGAGAAGATAAGAGAGAGAGAGAAAGAGAGATGGGAGAAGCTAGTATTTTCAGCTTCACCCAACTTCACCTGGGAAACTATGCCTAAAAGAGGAGCTGAAAACAGCTTTTAGGAAAAACTGTCTCAGCCTGTTTGTAAAACAACTTTTTGAAGCTGGGGTAGAAATCCTACCAAATAGGCCCGTAAAAACTAGTGGAATCAAATATTCATTTTTTACTATTGCTCGTCGTCTCATGTAAAGGTGTTCCCTGATTATAATTACGGGAAGGGTGGGATGAAAGAAGTTAAGAATGCATATCATTTAAAAACAAGATGGTCATTGACCAATGCAAGTTCCGGTCTTCCTATAGAACCTTTGGTCGCCATGTTCAATCTTTCGGGAAGGGTGCTTCGGGGAAGCTGAGTTCTACTTGAGCTGCAGCTTCTTGTTAGCTCCTACTCCTGTGGTCCGTACCGAAGGTAACCTTTAAAAAGTAATTGCAAACTCATCGCATTTAACTAAGGTTAAATAGTTATTAGTTAGTTAGCCTAGAAATACCAAGGTGGTGGTGTCCTTCATGGGCTATCCCCAAAGGCCCCAAGGGGGTGGTGTCTTTTGCTTTAGAGCAAGCTCAATAATAAAGCCAAGTGCTTGGCTATAAGTCAAGTTATTAGAGCCAAGTCATATAATAATTCTCTTATTTGTATATAAAAAGTTTTTTATTATTATGTGGTACCATGTCTTACTTTCTCTTTCTTACTCCCCCTCACATACACTTTTGTTTCGGCCCACATATGCCTATGCATCCATGCCAAGCTTGGTGCTTGAATAAGAGCCAAGCTCTCTTCTCTCCTCCACCTCAGCAAAAATGCTGACTAGATTGGCTATAAGCCCATTATTGTACCTGCTCTTATATCACAGTCATTTTCTTTGGCTGATGGGTGTGAATGCTATGTGGACAACGGAGTCTACGCACATAGTAAAACTTTATAATAATTTACGGTCACAAGCATCTCACAATGTTGAGACCTGGATATATTTTATTTGCTTGATGAAATAAACTTCCCTTTATCTAAGAAAAGGTAAGAACATCTCTGACGACAGACCCCTGTTTTGGGGGGCCGTCCTACTTTCGAGTATTAATGGACAAACTACCAACCTTGAAAATATATTGACATGGTACCAATATAAATGAAGAGAGATATGATCAGAGTTTAATGAGGATGAAACTAGTATACACTGTTTCCAATACATTAGTCTTTAAAACTGAGACATAAAACTCCTACCGAGACTAACCTATGCAGCATCCGATGGTCCATCCGTACCAAAGGTAACCTCTAAGAGTCTTTGAAAACTCGTAGCATGTTAACTAGTTAGCTATCCTAGAAATACCTAGGGGGTGGTATTCTTCATGGGCTATCCCTCAAGGCCCCAACAAGAAAAATCATGAGGTAGTACAAGCTGAGCTGGATGCTTGCGTAGTTTACATAAGTGAGGTGCAGGCGCAGGTTTTATATTCATCTACACATGCCTTGCCAATACTCCCTATATATTATTGCCTTGGAATATCTGTATGTATGAACTGTGATGATGACCACCATAACTGTGACATGTTGCAGAATGGATGGCAACCATAATATACAATATACAACTACCTACCATATAGTACAGCCACATATCTAAAGTGTATCTAATCTGTCATTAACTTGACTCTGGGCGAGTCGCCGGGGAAGATGCCTCGCCTCTGCGACGTACTGAATGAATATCCCTAAACTAAAGGCTGCCAAATCAGACACAAGGTACATGCTACCGTGGGTCCGTGCCTGCATTTCTAATTGCAATTTGGAGTGCAGCTTGGCATAAATAAGCATCTCCGAGATGTGAACGCCGCAGTCAGGCCGGCGGAGAACGAAGGGAGGTAAGTCTTTGATTTCTCCCGTGTCATAAAGTAAGAAGTTTTAAAGCCCCAATGACCACCATGCGTGGACTTGTTGACTCGAGTTAGTTGTGCTGCTGGTTTGTTCCAGGCAGAGCCTAAATGTCATTTCTTTGTTTGGACCCTTTTTAAAGAAGATTCTTCTACGGCTGAAAAACTCCGATGCAAAAGAAAGGCTGGCAACATGATCCGATTTGCAAATCGTGGCATATCGACTAACAAAACGGTGAATCGTCTCTGCAAGGATTGCCCATTTACAAAAAAAAAAGGTCGGAAACTGTTAGGTTTAGTCTCAGATTGGTAATTGGTGGTGGAGGAGCACGGCATATATATATATGTGGGGGCAGCCCTCACCAACCAGGCTAGTCTCTTTAGTTGAGTTAGGTTCTAGGCCTTGGTATATTGTCGGTTCCGGTGGACGTGGGCATGAGAGGGTGCTAGCTCGTGTGTATAGCGAGCCGGGCCGGATTTGTGGCACACTCTAACAGGAACATCATCATCGGCTGCGAGAATCTAAGACGGGATTTCGATACATTTGGAATGAACGCAATAGAAGGACCTCTCAGTCATTATCATTTATCAAAGCAACCTTTAGACATAGCCTTTCTAATTAAAGAAGCGGTAAATGTGTATAGTGTTTCTTCTTCTTCTTTCTTTTTTGTTTTCTTTCCATAGTGGATATAGAATAAGTGGTTAGTCCGTTTTAAGGTGTGCTGGCTGTTTGTTCTGTTTTTTTGTTGTCCGTTCCACAAATGTTGAATTCTAAATTTGTCCGGCTCGTACAGCTGTTTTTTTGTTGTCCGTTCCACAAATGTTGAATTCTAAATTTGTCAAGCTCGTACAGTTAATCATTTTGTGTAATCTAGGATCCTCTTGACACACATGCATACACTGTTATTTGGAAGGTTCTATGTCCAGCCAGCTATTTTGCAACGAGGCACAACCGCACAAGCATCTCTTAGATGCTCCTGGCAGAATGGATTACATACCATGTCTTTTGTTCAGAGGATGGAATGCCATAGGATGGATCGATTTGTTCGGCCTCGTTGGTTGCAGAATAATAATGATCTCCTAGCCTTGTTGATCAAGGAGAAAAATGTGTACAGCCTTGTCGGAAGGCACATGATGATCTTAGCCTCATCAGTCATGCAGGGGCGGAGCCATGTTGCTGACTGTGGGTGTGGCCGCATCCACCTGAAAATCAGAAAGCCATGAGCCTCATCAGTCATCATCTTGCTAACAGAAACTTTCGCCTCTTTCACACCCCCAAGCGCAAAGTCATGCACCCAGTCCAATCAAACAAAGTTTGCTAACTAAGCAGCCCAACACACTACTAATTTGTAACCTAGCTTTGCGCTACAAGCCATCACGGAAACTGGAAAAGAGATATTGCTTCATCTTCATTCACTAATCCGTCTGTCCGTCTACTGTCGTGCTGCATGCCCGACTCTTTGCCTCCTGTCTTCTGCGCCGCACGGCTCCACGCCCAGGTGCTTAGCAGCTAGCCACGATAGACAGCACTACAACAGCAGAGCGCCGAAAATGTCTACTGCATTGCTGGTCGACGCTTTGGCGGGCTACGGCTACCCCCGCTCGCCGACTGTTCAACTCGGCAACAGTCGGCATCACTTCCGTCGGACCATGAATCCCTGTTCCAGTGTTGCTTCACTAGTATCCTTCCCCTACGTTGGTGACTGTTAAGATTTATTTTAGTGATCAATTAGGATTAATCCACGTCATTAGCAACTGCTAATGACGATTCCATTAGGCACACAGAGAGAGTATACACTAGCTAGCAAACATGCCCGCAACAAGAATCTGATACATATTAGAATTAGACTCCGTGTCATCTCTATAACTCGTAACTCGTATGAACTTGTCTCATGACTCATGAGTCCAAGTCACGTATGAGATACAAATCCAGTACGTCTTGGAATCTGATTATGTATCAATCATCACTAGACGCGAGCTGTTTTAACTCGTATGAGCACGAGTCATATAAATACATACGAAAAAAACTCTCTACTATCCTGTAGTTAGGAGGATACCGATCAACTCTCTACTATCCTGTAGTTAGGAGGATACCGATCAAAAAAATAGGTGAAGAGAAATTTTGCCTCTTTAATATTATAGTCTAGAAGTATACCCCGCGCGTTGCCGCGGGAATTATGGATTAGTGGATTGCGTGGTATGATGACGTGGACAACAAAATGCCTATGTGTCTTACTGACTTGGGCATTACAGTTGCATGTGCTAGTGGATTTTAATTGTATGTAATAGTGCATTGCCTAGTTGGATAGCTTGCATGTTGAGATAAATAGCTAGTGGGGTGTTGCTGTGATAGTGCATTGCCTAATTGGACAGCTTGCATGCTGAGATAAATAGTGAAAGGATCAAGATGCCCAAGAGGGGGGGTGAATTGGGCTAATTCTAAAATTCTTTGCAATAATTAAACCCTACACTTAGCCCACTTCACTCCTTGTGCCTAGAAAGTGATTCTATTGATCTACCGCACAAAAATTTAGCACCCTAAGTTCCAATACTACTCTAGCATGACAATTCTAAGAATATAAAGACAAGAATTGAATTGCTCAAATATAAATGATTAAAGTAAAAAGAGGAGAAGGAATGCGGTAATGTTTTGTCGAGGTATCGGAGAGTCGCCACTCCCCACTAGTCC